CAAAGCCAATGCACCTGACTAGGAGGCTGTGGCGGATGGCATTGTTGTTAGAGCATTTGCAGCCCCTCTGGCAATGCTGGTTATACTTTGCTGCCCCACTGACATGAGGCTTTGGCACAGACTTGCTTTTGCCAATGAAATGTGGGCAAAAATGGCTTGTGTCACTTCTAAACCAGCTTATGGTTTGCCAGGCCTCTCTTTTCTTTCTGCTGCAAGGCCAGTAAGATCTCAGATAGGGGCTGCTCTGTCAGCTTGGGTCCTAGACTAAAGTGGCCGGGAGCGCAGCAGAGCTGGCCCACCATGGACCACAGTGTGAGTAAGGAATGAGCCACTGCTGTGCAGGCTGCCACATTGTTGGGGTGAGCTGTTAGACTAGCATAGCCAGTCGAAACTGACCACACAGCAGTAGAATTTGGCTTAATCTCAGACCCTCTGAAAGTATATCACATTTATCCCCTATATCCCCAATGAATCCCCGTTTTCCTCACCTCTGTAGCTTTTCCCATCCTGCTTCCTCTGCCTGGAATTTCTTTGAAATCCTACCCATCTTTCAAAGTCAAACCTGGATCCATGTCTTCTGTGATCTTTCTCAGATCCGCAATAGCATCAAGCACTGACTGAGCATTTACTACATGCCAGATACTACCCTAGCATCTGTTTTATTTCATTTAATCTTCACCCCGTGAGATAAGTCCTATCACTGTAGCCACATAAGGTGAAGAGAGGTAAAATAATTTGTCCAAGGTCACACAACTGGTAACCGGCAGAGCCAAGATTCAAACCCTGTGCTCCTTCCACTCCAGTACTCACTGCTATTTCTGTTCCCTGTTACATTTCTACATATCTCCTTGCTCTCCCCTCCTCATCTCTGAAACAGCTTCTGTACCTGACTGACCATGCTTTGTTTTTGTTTTTGTTTTGATCTGGGTTTGAGTATGAATTTTACCCCTTTCTGGTGGTGAGACCTTCGGCTAGTCACTTGATTTCTCTGAGCTTCAGTTTCTTCCTTATTTCTCCTGCAGCTCCAAACAGGGTGCCCAGTAAACGCTTACTAGCTGACCGACTGAATGAATGAACTCTCTGAGCTATGATTTGTCCATTTGTAAAATGGGAATAATAATGGTTCCTCCTTTATAGGGTTGTTGTGGAGTCTAAATGACACCTAGCACAAAGCATGACACCTAACACCTAAGAATTCAATACAACTTAGCTATTATTATTATAAGCCATAGGAAAGGTAAATACAGTACATAATATACAGAGAAAAAGCTTACTTCTCACAATGGGGATTGGGGAAAGCTAGTTTCATGGCAGAAGTGACTTGAGTGGACTTTGAAGAATGCATGGGATCTGGACTTGGACATGAGGTACAGGGAGACATTTTAGGCAAAGGGAACAGCATAAAGACACAGACAGTTTAAGTTTTAAAATCTTAATCCCTCTTTCCTCAGTTGTACCATTTCTAGGGTCAGATCTAAAGAAATAAGTGTAAATATAGAAAAAGCATTATGCGTAAAGATGTCCACTGCAGCGTTGTTTATAAAAGTGAAAACATGGAAATAACTGAAATGTCCAACAATAGGGAAGTAGTTAAATGAATGCTCTTCTATTCATCTGATATATTGTCATATGTCTATTATAATTAAATATATAAGAGGTATATAATAGAAAATGTTTGTGAATGATGCTATGTGAGAAATAAGAGAAAATGAATAATCAATATAGTTACAATTATATGAAAACAAATTCCAAAACCAAAAGCAATATTCGGAGAGTCTAGGAGGAAATATGCTAAAATATTAATAGGAGTATCTTTGGAGTAATGATCTCTGGTGACTGCTTTGGGATATTGAAAGCAATCTTTCTTACATTTATCATTTTTTTTATTATCATAGCTAATCTTTTTTTTTTTTTGAGGCAGAGTTTCGCTCCTTACCCAGGCTGGAGTGCAATGGCGCGATCTCGGCTCACCGCAACCTCCGCCCTCCGGGTTCAGGCAATTCTCCTGCCTCAGCCTCCTTATCATAGCTAATCTTGATTAAGCACTTCCTATGTACTAGGCAGTGCACTGTTTTACACACATTACCCCACTTAATCCATACAGCCCTATGAGGAAGGTTATCTTATTAACCTCTTACCAATAGGAAAACCAAGACTTCTCTATTTATACAATGTGCATATGTTACTTTTGTTTGTTTGTTTTTTGAGACAGGGTCTCACTCTGTCCCCCAGATTGGAGTGCAGTGGCACAATCACAGCTCACTGCAGCCATGAGCTCCTGGGCTCAAATGATCCTCCCACCTCAGCACCCCCAAGCAGCTGGGACTACAGGTACATGTCACCAAGTCCAGATCACTTTTTTTTTTTTGAGACAGAGTCTCACTCTGTTGCCCACGCTAGAGTGCTGTGGCACGATCTTGGCTCACTGCAACCTCCACCTCCCAGGTTCAAGAGATTCTCCTGCCTCAGCCTCCCAAGTAGCTGGGACTACAGGCATGCGCCACCATGCCCAGCTAATTTTTGTGTTTTTAGTAGATACAGGGTTTCACCATGTTGACCAGGATGGTCTCGATCTTTTGACCTCGTGATTCACCCACCTCAGCCTCCCAAACTGCTGGGATTACAGGCTTGTGCCACTGTACCTGGCCTAAGCACAGATAATTTTTAAATTTTTTTTTTGTAGAGATGGTGTCTTGCTGTATTGCTCAGGCTGGTCTCAAACTCCTGGGCTCAAGCAATCTTCCCACCTTGGCCTCCCAAAGTGATGGGATTACAGGGGAGAGCCACCACACCCAGCCTATTACTTTCATTATAGAAATATTTACTATATTTATTTAATATTTTGTTATTAAAAGACTAGAGATGTCAGTCCCCCCCCTTTATTGCTACTTCAAACAGTGTTACATCAGCACTGTTGCACATATTTTCTAATTATTGCTACTCTTATTTCTGTAAATTACATTTCTTAATGTGATATTTTGGGTCAAAGTATATGTGTATCTTTTTTATTTTGAACTAATTTTAGACTTACAGAAAAGTATGAAAATCATATGGAGATTGGCAATAAAAAGGAATAAAATACTGATACAAGTACAGTTTGGATGAACCTGGAAAACATTATGCAAAGTGAAAGAAAGCCGGAACATATTATAATATTCCATTTATACAGAATGTCTGAAAATCAGTAAATCTATAAAAACACAAAGTAGTCCTCTGAAATCTAGAAATTAAAAAAAAAACAAAACACAAAGTAGATTGGTGGTTGCCAGGGCCCGAGGGGCACGTAGGGAATGGGGAGTGACTGTTTAATGGGTTCAGGGTTTCCTTTTGAGGTGACAAAAATGTTCCAAAATTAGAGAGTGATGATGGTTGTGCAACTCTGTACATATAACAAAACCTCTGAATTGTATATTTTAAAAGGGTGAACTTTATGAATTATTTCTCGATAAAGCCGAATTCAAAGAAGAAAACCTTAGAGAGTTTCTTTACACCCCTCTCCTTCTTTCCCCTAATGTTCACAACTGAGAAATTATTGGGTAAATTGTGGCACAGCTAACTATGCATTAGTAAAAGTATACAACAACGTGTATCTATAATATCCTTTTTTTTTTTGAGACAAAGTGCTGCTCTATCCCTCAGGCTAAAGTGCAGTGACACAATCTTGGCTCACTACAGCATCACTCTCCTGGGCTCCAGCAATCTTCCTGCCTCCCCAGTAGCTGGGACTACAGGTGTGTACCACCCATAGTGGTTTTTATTTTTTGTGTTCTTTTTTTTGTATAGACAAGATCTCACTATTTTGCCTAGGCTATCTCCAGTTCCTGCCTTCAAGTGATCCTTCTGCCTCAGCCTCCCAAAGTGTTGGGATTACAGGTATGAGTCATACCACCCAGCCTATGATTCCTTTTTTTTTATTATTTAAAAGAAATACAAGGCTGGGTGTGGTGACTCACACCTGTAATCCCAGCACTTTAGGAGGCCGAGGCGGGTGGATCATGAGGTCAGGAGTTCGAGACCAACCAGGCCAACACAGTAAAATCCAATCTCCACCCTGGGTGACAGAGGGACACTCCATCTCAAAAAAAAAAAAAATTAGCTGGGTGTTGTGGCGCATGCCTGTAGTGGCCAACTGAGCTCTGGGACCTTGGGCCAGTTATTTAATTGCTCCATGCCTCAGCTTCCTTATATTTATAATGGGAGTGACTAGATAGACTCTTTCATTGGGTTATCAGGAGAGTAAAATGAGATCATGCATGCAAGATGCTTAGCACAGTGCCTGGCATACAGTGTTCAAGAAAGGATAGTCATTATCATTACTAATATTATTTACAGTAGGTTCATCTCAGCTATGTAGAGAGTGGGTAATGGTGATTATAAAAATCAAATGGAGGTGACAGCAACCTCAACTTAGGCTGCCATTCTTCCAGACATACATTGATGTGTTCCTGCACCATCAACCTAAGAATGAATTTTATTCTTGAGGATATTATACCTAACTAAAATGAAAGACCACATTTCCTAGCCTCCCTTGCAGCTAGGGGCAGGGGAAGTTAGGGATGGGACTTTGCTTTGGAAAGATGCCCTTCTGCTCTTTCTTTCCCTCTACGCTCCTGCTGTCTGGGTCCTAGAGTTGATGGCTGGAGCCCTGGTGGCAATCTGGGACCCTGCAGTAACCTGGAGGGAAGAAGCCACACTCCTAGGACAGTGGCACAGAAACACAGGAGTCTGAGTCCTTGATGACCCTGCAGTGGCCAGGCCAGCCCCACCCCACCTCCCTCTGCACTTATATCGCCAGAGAGAAGTAAATCTCTATCTTGCCTAAGCCTTTTTTTAGGTTTTTTGTAATGTGAAGATAAGCCCAGCCCTCATGAATTGAGTTCTCACAGAACAGCTAAAAATTCCAAAGCCCATGGCTAGGAGGTGGCACAGAGTATGGCCTGAGGAGGGGCTGCTGCCCACTCCCAGGTGAGGCCAGAGCGAGGCTGAGCCTGGGCACTTACTCATCACCGATGTAGAGCTTGGGCCAGACCTCATTGACGTGGGTGTACTGGGGACTGCCCTTCCAGAAGAGCCGCTCCAGCTCGAAAGCTCCGGGGGTGCAGTAGTCCTCCTCGTCGCCTTCCTCCTCCACCTTCAATGACGGCCTCTTGACAGATGAGTAGGCATTCTTGAGGCTTGTCTTCACTTCTCTGGATTTCATTTTAGAGCCAAGGGATTGTCTCTCCTTTCTGCAGCTGTTTATGGGAGAGAAGCAGGATGGGGGTTCTCAGGGGACGCTGAGACAGGGAATGGGCTTTACAAAAAGAGGTGGGAATAAGCTACCCTTAAAATTTGCCAAGTATCTCCCCAGCCTGCTATGCCCCGCTTCCTCTTCCTAGGCCATGCAGGTAAACAAGAAGGCCCTGATGGCAGTTAAATGACACTTCCCCAATGTGCCAATCTTTCCAGAGTAGGAGAGCTGGGGCCCTTGGACGTGAGCCAAGGCAGGCCCTGAAGCTAAGAAATCCTGCAAGCAGCCAGTTCCTTCCCACCTGTCTTCAGACTTTACTCCTTTGGTGCCTACTTTTTCCTTTATCTGACTGAAGCCTACTGGTTTGGGTCATTTTGGACTCAAAATAGGAAGGCCCAGAGGATCCCTGACATTCCAGGCTCGTGGCCCTCTCAGCATCTGCAGGGAGCCATCGGCCAGTGGAAAGAGCACATCACCAAGGCCATACCTATCCTGGCCTGGGTTTGGTCCATGCGCACATCAGCAGGACTTCAGAAGCCTGGAGAGGGGAGGAAATGTGGCCACTTGAGGGTTAACCTGTCAGGAGAACTGAAGGCAATGCTCAGGGCTCTCACACTGGGAGCCTGGCTATCACTGCGTTAACTTACCAAGCTAGAAAGCTATGACTCCAGATTGAAATGTGCATTTGGAGAGCTTGTCAGGCTCTGCCAGTGGAATGCAGGCGAGGACTTTCCATTGTCCCTGAGGAAATAAATTTGCAGTGGATTTGGACAGTGATTGTTTCCTGAGCTGAGTAAATGATGCACCTATGGTCAGACAGTCTGGAAAGGAAAGTCGTGCTCCTGCTCCGAGACTAGAGGGAAGGAAGAAAAGGTGGGAAGACTGAGAACCATGGAGGTGAGTGATGGGAGGGAATGCTATTTATTTATTTGACAAATACCTATATAACACCTAATGTGTGCCAGACACTGTTCCAAGTGCTTGAGATCGTAAATCCATTTAATCTTAACAATGCTGAGGTAGGGTTATCCTAATACTCTATCATTAGTCCCATTTTACAGATAAGGAGGATGGTAAATTGAGGATGTGTAGCACAGGGTCTTAGTGTGAGAGGGAGGGAGCTGGGAGATGCAGTGTGAGGAGGGGCAGGCCTGGGATGTGGAGAACGTAGGAAAGAGTTCATGGCTTCGAAGACTGTAAAGCACATGTCAAATGGACTCAGAATACAACTTGAAGAAGCTCCCGCTTATCAAAATGCGACAACTTGAGCATGAAAAATAAAAATAACTCCTGTGGATTGAATACATCAAACACTTAGGCCATAATAATACTGAAGGCCAGTCGAGGTGGCTCACGCCGGTAATCCCAGCACTTTGGGAGGCTGAGGCGGGCGGATCACCTGAGGTCAGGAGTTTGAGACCACCCTGCCCAGCATGGTGAAACCCCGTCCCTACTAAAAATACAAAAAATTAGCCAGTACGCCTGTAATCCCAGCTACTCAGGAGGCTGAGACAGGAGAATCGCTTGAACCGAGGAGGCAGAGGTTGCAGTGAGCCGAGATCACACCACTGTACTCCAGCCTGGGCGACAAGAGCGAAACTCCATCTCAAAATAATAGTAATATTAATAATAATAGTGCTGAAAACAGGCTGGGAGCGGTGCTCACACCTGTAACCCCAGCATTCTGGGAGGCTGAGGTGGGCAGATTGCATGAGCCTGGGAGTTCAAGACCAGCCTGGGCAACATGGCAAAACCCATCTCTACAAAAAATGCAAAAATTAGCTGGGTGTGGTGGTGTATGCCCGTAGTCCCAGCTACTCAGGACTCAGGCAGCTGACTCTGAGGTGGGAAGACCACTTGAGCCCAGGAGGTCAAGCTATATTGAGCCATGAACACATCACTGCACTCCAAACTGGGCAAAAAAGGGAGACCCTATCTCAAAAACAAAACAAAACAAAAACCTTAATTATTCACTGTCAGAAGATGTTTGGGAACCAGCTCCTTATTTTGAAGATGGATAAAGGAGAAGAATCTGCATGTGTTGCTCCTGTCTTAGACAAATTATATACTACTGGGTTGATAAGGGAAATTTTCTTCTGTAGGAGTATTCCAGATAATGGATAAAGAAGGAAGCACCATTTTAACCACCTGATGAGCTGCTGCATCCAGACACTGAGCATGGACTGCCAACCACATACGAATAAGAAGAGATGATCAGACATTATATGCCTTCTGATAGAAGAGAAAACCACCATGACAGGAGTCGTCTCACCAGAGAAAAACCTCAGTCTCCTCTGGGTCCTCGAGTTTATATCTATCAGCCAACTTGCAGAGATTCTGACGACAGTTACATGATACCAGGCCTTATCTTTTAGAAAAACATACTGAAATATTTGCTTCAAAAATAATATCGTCAGAAGAATATAATAATGTTGGGGCAGGCTTTTGTTGGAGGTGTGAATGAGATGGGTTGGCTATGAGTGATGGTGCTGGATGGTGGTTATAAGCTGTTTCTCTTTTTTCCTTTTTTAAAGTAGAGATGAGGCCTCACTATGTTGGCCAGGCTGGTCTCGAACTCTTGAGCTCAAGTGATCTTCCCACCTCAGCCTCCCAAAGCGCTGGTGGTATTACAGGCATGAGCCATCACACCTGGCCAGTTGCTGTTTCTCTTCAGGTGTGTTTGAAATTCTCCATGATAGGAATTTGAAAGGAAAGGGTTAAGATCACTGCTTTGGGGAATTTGATTCTCCCAAGTCCAAAGCAGATGATTTAAAGGATCACTAACTAGCTAGCTGTGTGTGTCTATCGGGATTGTGGGAAGCCAGGATTTGTGACTTCCTTCAGCTTTCTGCTTTCTGGTGGGGTGTGTGGAGGGCAATGGGCAGAAGAGGGGACCCGCCTATGGAGTCTCTCAAAGTGTGGTCTGAAGACCACTTCTGTCAGAGTCACCTGGCACTGATCAAAAATACAGATTCCCAGGCTGCACCCTAGACCAGGGTAGGAGCCTAGGCATCTGTATCTTAATGAGCTTCCAGGTGAGTCTGACGCTCTGTAAAGGTTGATAATAATTGTCCGAGATGTGGCTAGACAGCCAGGACGCTGTGGAGTCAAGGGAAAGGTAGTGAGGGTGCTCATTCAGAATGTCTCCTGCTGTCCCATTGGGCTGGGAGGCCCAGTCTTTACCCCAGAATGCAGCTGCAGGCTGGAAGGAGAGAGACCTTGCTTCGGGGCTCCTGAGTATTGCTTCTCTCTGTAGCCTTAGAGTCTGGCACATAGGAGGCGCTCGGAGATATGGGTTGAATGAGGAAGTGGCTCAGTGAATGAATGGAATGAGTGAATGAATGACTGAGGGGTGCAGGAATGATTAAGGGCTGTGAGGCCTGTGCTAGGGGCTCAGCAAGAGCTGCTAAGGCAGGACTGAGCCTCCAGGCTGATTTGGAGGAGGGCGAAGGGGAGGGGAGTGCGGGCGCAGAGTGGGCTGCCCTCCTGCTGTAGATGGTCTGTCAGGCCTGAGCTCGACTCTGGGACCTGCCTGCTATGCTTCCAGCCAGGAAGGGAGAAATTATTTCCGGGATTGACCAGAAATCTTTCTCACAGAAACAAGCCTAGACCCCTCAGTCCTCTACGAGCATACGTAGTTATAGCTCTCCTAGCTTCAGGCCCACAATGTCTAAAGGTCTGAAGCTCAGCCCATCCATGGCACCCACTCTTCTTGTTCGAAGTGAGTAGACACGGCACCATACACCTAAAGGTGATGGTTCAGGCCCTCTTGAACCCTGCCTGCTGTTAATGGAAGCTTCAGAAGACTTGATTTTTGGAAGATGCTGGAGTCAATTCCATTCTGAAGCCTCCATCTGCCTTTTTTGATCACTGAAGCTGACTTTGCCGTTGGTGAGGCCGTTCTTCTTCCTTACATTATGGAGGGAACCATCCCCGTCTCCATCTCTGTGCTAAAAGCCTCGGCTGGATTTCCAGACAGAAGAGGAAGTGGTGCGGTCTGCCCTGAGGAGCTTGGCACGCAGAGGGAGCCCTGGGATCTATTATCCTCCAGCGTGCCGATTTGATGGAGAAAGAGAACAAAGTGTGGAGCCGTCCAGAAACCATAGACCTGTAATCTTTCCAAATCCCAAAGGCGGCCTGTGTGCGCCCTCTCTGCATGGCTCCCAACTCTCTAATTCTCAGAGAGGCCAGGAGCATCTGTTTCCCAGATCACAGCCAACATGGAAGGGAAGACAAATCTGTTCTGTTTGGTTTCCATAGATTCGACCCAGAGATTAACTGCCAAGGTCTCAATGACATACACAATATCAATCACAGGCTAAATGTCATAATGAGAGTTGGGCAGGCTGTCAAGAGAGGCCTCCAGGTTCCTGTTACAGCTTCATATTTAAAGATCTGGTCCCAGGAAATCAAACGCTGTCTCCGAGGCGACTTGGCCTACATGCAGCATCAGCATGTCTCCTCCTTAAAAGGTGACACATTCAGGCTCCTTCAGGGAGGGGCCAGGCAGATAACACAGAGGAAGGGTTGGGTTTTAAAAAGTAAATTAAACATGCAAATACCTGACTGTTGGCCTCAGGCAAGAGACATTAGAGAGTGGTGGGGAGTGTGGCACACCAGGGAGCATATGCCTTGAAGGGGGCAGCAGCTTGCCATCCCTTGTGGGAATACAAGCCCAGATTTTCTGGTATTTTTATAATCCCTATAGATTGTTATGAGAAATCTACTGGTTTTTAAATGTAAGTGCCTATAGTAGTTGCTATCCTTGCCCTGTTACAAGAATAGCACCTACTACAGTTGCCCACAGGTACCTCCTCAGCTCAAGTGGACAGCAGCAGAAGTGGACAGTTCTTTATACACAAAAGCCTTCCTACCTCAGGTGCCTGAGTTTTCCTGCTCGAGGGCATTTTCTAGTCCTCGTGCTGATCAGGCCTGCTGTATGCAGAATTAACATCCCCCAGAAGTTATCACCAATTAGGGGCAGGAGTTGGTGGATAAACACACCCACTTCCTCCACCCTGAGTGGCCCAATTTGGAAGTATGTCCTGCAGAGTCTCCCAGAGACTGGCCTGTGCGTTGGAGCTCCAGTTGCCCAGAGTGGGATTCTGCTTGCTCACACATCCTTTACTGCTTCTTCTCTCTTGGGAGCTCTGCACACCACAGCGTGCTCCTAGGAGCACCTCTCAAAGAAACAACACGCACCCAAACTCTGGTCTCAGGGTCTGCTTTAAAAGGAAACTAAAGTACAGCTAATTTTAAAACATTTAAAGATGAAAGATATGGTATACATATATCAAAAAATCACATTGTATCCCATAAATACTTACAATTATTATTTGTCAATTAAAAATTAAAATGTAGGCTGGGTGAGGTGGCTCACGCCTGTAATCCCAGCACTTTGGGAGGCCAAGGTGGGCGGATCACCTGAGTTCGGGAGTTCGAGACCAGCCTGACCAACATGGAGAAACCCCATCTCTAATAAAAACACATTAGTAGGCATGGTGGTACATGCCTGTAATCCTAACTACTCGGGAGGCT